TTTTTATTCAAAGATAATTAATTATATTTTTATATTCAAACTCAAACTAGTTTGCAAACTTCAAATCAAATCCAAATCAAATCCAAATATAATGTTATTGAACTCAAACTAGATATAATTTTTAAAAAGTTTGAGTTTGAATTTGATTTGATTTTCAAACTAAATTCAAATTTGTTTAAAGTTTGGTTCAGTTTGGTTTGATAGGAGCACTCCATAGTAAAATTATCAGTTAGCGCTAGGTAGCATTAGTAAAATTAATCAATTCTGGCCCATCCATTGTTAGAAAGATCATTATGGTGGGAGCCCTTTTAAGAAACCTGTTATGCAGAACAAGGTCAAAAAGAGCTTTAAATGGAAACTACATGTTTGGATAAATCAAATTTATATATAATCCTATTTATATCAGGAATAGACAATTTTTTGTATAATAAAATACTTTAAACTAGTAAAATTGACTCGTTAGGGCATATTTTAAGATGGCCAGGGATGAAACATAATCAGCTAGCAGACGTTGAATGGCATAATTCAAATACCTTAAATATATTTCTATATTCTTAACACTTATAATCACTAATTGAAGTACAGAAGTACTATACGTATAAGAAATTTATATAATAAATTAGCATTAGCAATTATTCTAAAGCCAGGTAGTTTTCTAACAAATTTGCAAATTAAAAATCACATACCACATATAAATTACTACTTGGCTTTAGATAATTCCATGTTTGATTCAAGACAAAAATGCTACACTAATAACTACATTAGGTCAGATTATTATTCAAAATGTGCCTTTGTGCAAAAATTCTAAAACTAAGCTGATCATTTTTTTTAACTTTATTTTATATCCCTTACATACTCATACTTATACTCATACTCATACTCATACTTACATACTCATACTCACATACTTATATACCAATTATATTGCATAACTATAATTGTAATAATGACGTTATTATTAGTTACATACTGTAGTTAATTTACACTTTTGATCATCTCTTTTACGTTGATTTACCATCACTCACATGACACCAAAATATTTTAAACATTATATATAAAATATTTTAGATGTTATAAATAAATTTACAATATGAGCAAAATGTATAAATCTGGATATATTAAACTAATTTTTGAACAGATAAAAAAAATACTGTATACGTATTCACACCTTAGCAATTCAGAAATCTTAAAATTTACCAAGTAACTCTTGTAACAACTCATAGAAAAAAAACTTTTTACAATATTTTAACACATTAATATCTTAACCTGAATATATACTATCAATTATTTTTGAGCTTATATTTATTGCCTATGAATTTCTTTTGGCAAATTAGCCAAATACCTTGAAACTTATTAATTAAAACAGTAGACATTGGCTTCCTTTACATTTTATTCAAAAATTTTTAAAATCATAAACTTCAAAAATTACAAACATTAATGACAAAGTGAAACAAACCACTCAATAGATGGTTATGCTCAGAAGTTGTTATGCAAACTATTAAGAATACATTGGATTCAACTCTTGATGCTCCATATCAAAATTGTCAACTAAAAAATGTTACCCATAAGCAAATTTCAATTTCTCTTGAAAATATTCTTTTAAATGACTTGAACTTTTGAAAGGATCACTTAGTATTGTATAAATGGTACCAGAAAGATCAACAAAAAAAATAAAATCAAAACCAGCTGCAATCTTTAAAAAAAGCTGGGTTTATTTATCAGTTATAGGATTAAATCCTATTAATTTTAATATCAACAACAGCAGTATCAAAAATGGCAATGAAGCAGACAATGCACCCAACCAAATTAGAATTGAAACCCCAATCAACACAGAAAATAATAATAGTAATATCAGAAGTACCTGTAATCCTTCTCCTCTACCTGTAAAAAGAGTATACTCTTTTTCTGAACAGGAACAAGGTGCAGTGGTGGAAACTTTCTTGACCATTACAGAAAAGGCCATTTATAATTTCCTTGTAAGAAATGAAAATAAGATTCCTAAAACAATTGTTGAAAAATTTGCTGCTAAACAAACACCACCGATAAGCAATGATTTTTGGGATGCAGATCTATTGTGCATGTTAAAATTTATCATTAAAAATTATAAAATATTTTTGAAAGAATCAGTGTTTTATAGTATTAATAAA